ATGACTGTATGTTCCTGGGTAACCTGGTGACATTATTTCACCGCTGTGAGGAATAGTAGACTGGTGACTAGAACCGTTACAATTTTTGTTGACAGAAACTGTGATACCTGAAACATAAGCAGTTACAGAATAATGTTTGGATAGGAAAAATGAGTGTTTATATAATTTGAAATACTGATTAAAGAGAGGAGAAGAAGGACAGGACAGGACAGGACATACCTACACATGTTCGACCATCACCAATATACGTACTGTTGCATATACACTTGTAAGAACCGGGTGTGTTAATGCACAGTGCATTACTATGACAACCAGGCGATCCAAGACACTCGTTGATATCTAATAAGATTAGAGAYTATGAATCAAACGACTGAATTAAAGCAAATTTATAAAATAATTGGGGTACTACGCGCSCTATGAWTGGTCGAAAACCATGTTTGATGAGAATATCAAAACACGCTATCGTCATTTTAGCGCGYGCGAGTATTGCARCTGTCAGATTTTAATCTATCGCGCGTGCTCATTGGTCAGTTTGAAAAAGACGGCACGTAGGGAGARKTTACTTAGACTTTGGGTTTCTTCTATCTTTTTGCGCGTTTGTTAWTTTATAAAACAAATCAAAAACAGTTTTCCGTGTTTGATACTCTGATCAAAACACTTGGGATGTTGAGAGATAACGAGACGACGCGTAGCGGAGTGGTTTCCAGCTTCCCGCGTGTTTTGATCAAAGTATCAATCACGAAAAAACTGTTTTTGATCTGTTAATTAAACAGTGGAGCTCTCTTTGTTCCCCAAAATTCAAGATACCAGATGCAGGTACAAAATGCAGACACAGGAAAGAAAAACTCGCTATAAAATTCGCTAAAAAAATTATAAACAAAAATATTTTTTTAATTTCGAAAAACGGAAAGTCATAGGAATGAGATGAAAATATTGATCACAAAATGTTTTGTTGCAAATGCTTCTCTGCCGCCGTTATTAAGAATACTTACCGTGGCACATTTTTCCAATAAATCCTTTATTACACTGACAGTGATATTCTTGTCTGTTCTTGTCGTTACGTACACATTTACTATTGTTAACGCAAAGATTGTCTTCACACGGGTCCTGTTAAATAATCAGTTTGAGCCTTTTATCA